TGAGTGTCTTTTGTCCTATCAGTCTTAATTAAGCAGCAGTTCATACATCTTTATTGTGAAAGGCAGACCATAAATATTTTAGGTTTTGGGGGCCAGAATTAATTCTTTCATTGTAGCAAAAGATGCCTATATAAGTGAATAACTATGGCTGTGTACCAATAAAATGCTATAAAAGCAGTGTCAAGCAATATTTGAGCCCAGGTTCATAGTTGGCCTATCCTTGCCCTTAAGAGGAGGAATACTTAGGCTAACTTTGGCATTTCGTCTCTTTGATGGGAATGTAAATTCCTTGAGGGCAAGGGCTGTATTGTTACTTCCAGTTTCCTTTGACTATAGCTAATGATTTCTCTCCTCCTCTAATGAAGAACAAAGCTGGTGGTGTGTTTCTTAGTACCTGCTACAGAAAGCATCTCAACAGAGTCACTGACATACAGATTGCCTTCACCTTTTTCTTTCCTTTCTATCCCTACAGAAATTTTCAGAACCCAGTGAGCTGATGTGAACCATCTTTCTGAGCATGAGCACGTGAGAGGCAAACTTGGCAAAGAGAAATCTCTACTTTGGCCATTATCATGAGAAACCTTCCATAGTCAATGGCTAAAAAATGTTGAAGAGAGGAGCATACAGGAATGGAAGTCTAGTCTCCCATAGTGCTTTTCTTTCTCACAATTTCCATCTGTGCTAATGTGTGTTACAGACATGTGCATGCAGGTGCACACTCCTCTGAGTACATGTGTGGAGGCCATGAGGATATCAGGTATCTTCCTTTATTGTGTATCTTCCTCAATAGATTTCTACCTTATTCTCTTGAGAACCTGAAGCTCATTGTTTTTTGCCAGGCTAGCAGCCAGCAAGCGCCAGCAATCCTTCTACCTGTTCTCCACCCCAGGCACTAGGATAACAGGTATGTACAGCCCTGCTCAGCTTTGTATGTGGGTGCTGGAGATTTGAATACAGGTCCTGATGCTTGTACAAGCAATTACTTTTATTCACTGAGCCGTGTCCCCAGGCCCTATTTGTTCTTTTTGAACCCTTCAGGTTAGAACATTTCCAACTGAAGCCTGCTATCCTGTGGGTTTAGGAACTCTTAGCTAGATTAGACCGCCTAAATGCTAATGTGAAAGGTGGGGTTTACTGGCCTTGAGAGATCCAAAGCAAGGGTCTCCTCCTGGTTCTGAGAAGGATCTTTGGGGGCTCCCTCAGGTGGCTAATGCGGGAACTGCTGGCTTTCTTTTTGAAGGTCCTCAAGTCTTAGCACACTTTGTGGCTACTTTCCCTGGAATAAATAAGGAATAGAAAGCCCCTGGGCTCTGAGGAGTAAGGAAGTCTATATGGGATGGGGGGCAGTTGGGTCAATGGCTATTATACGATTGAGGACATAATTAGATGGACACGCAGGAAGAAATTATGTTGGAGATGGAGTTTGAAAGAATCGGCTGCTGCTTCTCCCACCCCACCGAGAGCAGTACGATGGGCGCAGGAGAATGCTGTTGAAGAACTGCATGCAAGTTGGCATAAGCTGCGCTCCTGGGGATGGAAGAGAGGAGTTGGGAGGGAAAGAGCATCAGTATATGCCATCACACAGCAAACCTGGAACCTCTGAAGGGCAGGAGGTCGCTGCTGTCCTTTGCATGGGTTCCGTGACTTCTGTTTTGGAGTCATGGATCCCATAGTGGAATAGTTAGTTCAGAGACTTGCAGATATGGGTGCCCACTGCTCCTTAGTTTCTGTCTACTGGATCCCTCTCCAAAGCAGGTTTCCCACAGCTGCTGAACCCCAGTTCCCTGGCCTGTAATTTATTTGGTCCCTGTCTTGTCTGACATGCTGCTGAAAGACACAGTTGAAGGGCTAAATATGGTGCTCTGAGGCTGTAGACCCCACGCACATACACTGGGACTGTGGCTCTGCATTGCCCTAGCCTGGCTGGCCATTCCCTTTTGTGGTTGCTGTTGTTCCTCTAGGACAGATGACCACCTGTGCTTACTGGACACCCACTCTGTGCTGGCAGGGAAAACTGGTTGGCTCTGCCCCTCAAAGAACTTCTGGCCTGGGGGAAGTAGGAAAAAGTAAAGGTAGGAAATACATGAAATGAGGTAAAGGTCAAGAGCCATGGGCTAGGGAAACAGAGAGGAGACAGAGAAAGCTAGGATTCTGGGAAGGAAAGAACTGGTCACTCTAGACCTGCACACAGGGCCTGCAAATACACCGAGAGCAAGAAGGACAAGCTGAGGAAGTGTGTGGATGGCAGACCGTGAGTCAGTCAAGGCGCAGCTCTGCTGGAATACAGCACATGCTAGCCTGGTGGGAGATGTGGGAAGAGAGGCTGTGAGAACACAGAACCCCGCTAAAGTACGGCTGGTAGTGAAGCGGAAGCTAGAACTGTTTTAGGTCTGACATAACAGGTGTAGAGAGTGGGCTGGGAGAGGGAGAGATCACTCTGCTGTCACAGCACACCTGACTTGGGTGTAGATGGTCCAGGAAGAACTAGGTCAACAACCACAGAGGGAAGAAGTTCTGAAATGGGAGCTCACCCCAACAGACATACCGGGAGCAAACTGCCTTCCTCTGGCCCCGTTTCTCCAGAGAGAAAGTATCACACAGACAGGCAAAGGCTAAGCTCCATGCTTTAGGCAGCCACTGGAGGCCATCAGTCATCAGGAGTGGAACAGGCGGGGTAGCCCCTAGGCCTTGGGCCTGTGATGAGAGCAAGTTGTGTCTTGTAGTGGCTGCGGAGAGGCTCTAGCTGCACTCAATGATCTGGGACAGGCTACTTTAGTGGTTGAAACCATCAGCAGGGCTTGTGGGGACAGTGCCAGGCCCACCCCCAGGCTCAGTTCAGCATGGTCGGGGTGTGGCCTCGGAATGAAATTTCTTGGCAGTCGTACTTCCTCCAATTGGAAAAGAGGTGAATGGGTCTGAGTGAGGAATGTAGGGAGAGTGGTCAGCTGGGAAGTTAGGGTCTGTCTGGAGGACATGCATGCAGATATGCTTGTGCATCAGATGCATACTTGGTACCTATGGAAGTCAGAGCAGGCACTGGACCCCAGGAACTAGAGCTACAGACAGCTTGTGAGTCTCCCTATGGGTACTGGAAACTCAACTGGGTCCTATATAAGAGCAACACGTGCTCTTTACCATTGGGCCATATTCTTACCCCAATTTTTCCTTCTTGGAATTTGCAAGTTTTCTGTTATATACTAGTTAGGTGGCCCTACTACAATATCCATGCCAGACAGGCAGATGTATGCCTGCTGTACTTACTGCAGGAACTCAGAGCAGCACCCAGTCAAAGTGTGTGGATGGCACAAGTGAACAAAAGCCACAGCTGAGTCTTGACTATCTCCTACAGGATGATGTGTTGAAGGCTTGGACTCCATCTTCTGCTGCAACTGGGAAGTGGTGGATCCATTAACAGGTGTGGCCTACTGGGAGGAAGTTAGGTTTTGAGGCATGAGCTTGAATGGGATAGGGCACTGCAGTCCCAAAAGCAACAGAGCCAACCAACCAGAGAGTAAGTTCTTTAAAACAGTTCCTGTTTTTCAAGTAGTTTTTGTCAGTATTTGGTCACAGGGACAGAAGGAAGAATGCACTGGACAACTGAGTTTGACAAGGGACATCTTTGGTCCAACAGCTGTTAACATTTTGAGGGAGTTTGAAGGCATTTGGTTTTGTCTGTTAGCTAGGCCTATTAGCTTCTCATCTAGCAGTTCTGATCAATTACTAAGCTTTGTTCCCATCTAAGGTGCATCTTTCCTTTCTGTGCTGAATTCTGATTTCTTTCAAAGTACATCCATTAAACGTTCAGTTCTAACTCATGTGGAGCAGTCAGGAGGATTTTCTTGATCCTTGCCCTCTACTGAGTAAATTGTATGAACCACTACAGGCTGTCCAGACCTACAGAATAAAGGTTATCCCCTGCCTTCCTCTTTAGCCTGACCAATGTCCTACTGCTTCCCAAAGTAGCCTTCCACTTGTGTCCTCTACCGAACTGAAGTTACACCAGTAAGTGCAACTTACACTATTATTTCATATATGGTTAAGAAACACAGCACTCTGCTCAAAGTGGTTGGCTATGAGACTGATCTCTTTAGTTTGAAATGCCAATTGGTGGGTCTGCATCAGCGATTATTTCTTCTTCATGTCCAAACTCAGTGCATCACCTGCTCTGCAGAAACCATGTCACTTCACGTTGTCTTACATAAGTACATAAAATGCATCAAATTTTATCATACTTCAGGGTATTATGAATGGAACTCCATTACTGTAAGCCTCATGAGCAAACCTGGCATCTTATTCACATTTATATCTGAATGCCTTGGCAGCTCAGCATGGTCTCTTCCCAGGCAGAGCTAATAAGCCAGCAACACAAACTGTATGGCCTTTATACCTTTATTATAGTTTCTCCCAATTGCCTTCCTACCCTTAGACAGTGATGAAGAAGAACGTAGAATTCTTCAAGAGCCAGGTGGTGGTAGCGCACGCCTTTAATTCCAGCACTCAGGAGGCAGAGGCAGGTGAGTTCGAGGCCAACCTCGTCTATAGAGTTGAGTTCTAGGACAGGCTCCAAAGCTACACAGAGAACCTGTCTTGAAAAAACAAAAACCAAACAAACAAAAGTTCTTCAGGAACACACTTTAATGAGTTCAGAGAACAAAACCACACTGTATTAGATGGGCTGTACTCTTTGGAAGATGAACGGCCTGGTATGTTCTGTGAGGTGAGCTACAACCGTGTCTGCAGGCCATTCTGCAAAATCTCATGAAGGAGTTTCTTGTAGTGATATTTCATTTGTATTTTAATAAATAAAGCTTGTCAAAGAAAGGCCAGAAAAACAAAACAGCCAGCTACTGGCTCTTACCTCTACCTCAGTCTGAAATGGCGATCCTGCCTCCAGGAATCTCAGAATGAGACTGTGTCTGAGAGCTGCCTCCTCCCCTCTTATAATCCTCTCTAGGGCTGGGATTAAGGGCATGCACCACTAGTGCCCGGTTTCTATGGCAAACTAGTGTGACTACTGGGATTAAAGGTGTGTGTCACCACTGCCTGGTCTGTAAGGCTGACCAGTGCGGCTGTTTCACTCTTCAGGCAAGCTTTATTTATTAAAATACAAATGAACTATCAGTACAGTTTCTACTCAAACATCCTGGAGATGAAGAAGGCCACTCTCTCCAGCTTATTACCAACCATGTTTTTAGGAGCTGACCAACTAACATAGCACACAATGTACACATCGCACTGACAACTAAAGACTGCCAACAGTTTCTGTGGATAGAGAGATGTTTTATGGTAAAACAAGGCAGGCAGACACTGCACTCATTTTTGAAAGAAACCCTGACATCATGCAAGACAGCAGGGAACCAGGAATGTATTTATTCTTAGGGATTGGTAGCTGGGGTTACAGTCATCAACACTTCTAACTATTCTACTAGGAACATATGAAATGTATGTCTAAGTCTTACTCTGTGTCAACAATTCTGGTTTTGCTTCAGTTTTTAAGACCTCGATCAAAGTCTTGTGGTTTTCACTTTATGTTGGTATACTCAGGGGGAGGGAGAGAGAAAGACCAAAACAGTAGATTATGCATCTGCCTGCTTTAGGAAGTCCAATGCTACCCTGGAAGAGACATCTGCTCTTGTCACCAGCAAGGGGCACATAGCTCAGAAGAAACTCAATTAAGGATATTGGCTCATCAGAACAGAGAGGAAAAAATTATTGGGGAGGGCTCTGGGGCACATCATTTGTTCTTCCGCAGGTGGTGGAAACTCTGCACAGTCCTTTCCACGGCGTCATCCATGGTGACCAGTGGCCGGTATCCAATGAGCTTTTTGGCTTTCTCACAACTGTAGTAGTGGAATGTGCCAGCCAATGCCACCCGCATTGGTGTAAAAGTCGGCTTGATTTGGATGAGAGGACTGACCACCAGCACCAGCAGAGATAGCAGGAAAGCAAGGTAGTAGGCCACCCAGTAGGGGATGTGGTACTTGGGGGCCTCATAATTGAGGCCTGTCAGAATGCGGGACAGGAACGTCCAGAAAGGAATTGGTTCATCGTTGGTAATGTGAAATGCCTGGTAAAGGAACACGAAATTAGAGAACCCTGCACAGCTGTTGGGGTGAGCAGGCCACACATGGGTCTCTAAGCTCAACTAGCTGCTGGCTCCACTTGCAACTGTTACTGTGGGAAAGCAGAGGCACACTGTCCTGCCTGTCCTGTCTCTCTGGCAAGGCACCATGTGCGTTATCAGGTCTTACATGCCTAGCTGCAATGTATCACAGTCTGTCTCAGACTCTCAGAATGGGCCGTGTAGAAGGGCAGAGATTGAAGGTGTTAACAAAATCCACAAAGTGGATCCTAAAAGTGAAGTTTAGCTTGCACTCAGGAAGTTACAATTGGTAATTATTGCCATGGTAAAACTCAGTTTTACATCTGCATGTAACAAATGGCCAATATTCAATCTTTCAGACATATTGTTTGTTCTAAACCATGTTATAAGTGGGAAAATAGAAAATGTTCACAGGGGAGAAAAGAGCACTCAGAGATAAGAGTGAAAAACAAGGAAGATAGTGAGCCTGAGAAATAACAGGCAAGGTGGGGTAACAGAGTAGGTCCTCTCAACTCTGATGACTTCTGAATGACTATATGCAGATCACTTGCTAGGAGTGCAGGAGTGTCAGGTCTGAACAAAATTAGTCATGTGTGGGTGGTGAGGGAGGATAGAAATCTGAAATCTGAAATCTGAGAAGAAAAGTGACAAGTATCTGCCTAACACAGATGTGACCAGGCTTCGAGTGAACATGGGACTCTAGAGAACAAAGCCTTTAAGTTCTGGATTTTGGCTGTCCAAAGTAATGATGCTTCACTGATGTAGAACTTCCCAGTGGGTCCTAAGGTGCTGGGAGAAGCAAGTCCTTACCTTCCCACCCAGAGCTACATCTTGGGAGAGGTGCTCGGCTGCCAAGATATGTCCATGAACCACATTCTCCACGAAGGTGAAGTCCACCAGGTTCTCCCCATTTCTGGAGGTAGATAAAAAATATTTCAGCTGTGCCCCACAAAGACATTTGAGAGACTAACCCACTTCTTTCTTATCAGTGCCTGTCTCTGGCACACTTGTGTGATTGCAACAGGTAATGAAATATGACTATGCAGAATGACCAGGACCTTTGGGGCAGTGAGATATTGAAGGATCAACCAATGAATGGGAGACTGTGGTGTCTTGCATGCCCCGGCATGACCAGTACTAGTGTGTCTTCTTGACCTTTGATTTGAGGTACAGACCTTGAATACTTTCCAAGGATACACCAGGCCAATGGTCTTCCAGTTTTCTCTCACTGCCTCTGTAATCCCTCAAAGCCTTAGATCAGAACATCAGTGAGATTTAATAAGTACAGGAAAACAACACACGGGGATAAAGAAGAAAAAAGAAATGTAAAAGGCACCAGGTGCAGTGAGGGGTTCATGCCTTGAATCCCAGTACTTTGGAGAAATCGCCCTTCACAATAGCCACAAATAACAAAATATCTTGGGGTAACACTAACCAAAGAAGTCAAAGACCTATTCAACAAGAACTTTAAGTCTTTGAAGAAAGAAATTGAAGAAGATACCAGAAAATGGAAAGATCTCCCATGTTCTTGGATAGGTAGGATCAACATAATAAAAATGGCAATCCTACCAAAAGCAATCCCCATCAAAATCCCAACACAATTCTTCACAGACCTTGAGAGGACAATAATCAACTTCATATGGAAAAACAAAAAACCCAGGCTATCCAAAACAATCCTGTAAATAAAGGAACTTCCAGAGTCATCACCATCCCTGACTTCAAACTCTACTACAGAGCTACAGTAAAGAAAACAGCTTGGTCTTGGAATAAAAACAGAGTGGTTGACCAATGGAATCTAATTGAAGACCCAGATATTAATCCACACACCTATGAACACCTGATTTTTGACAAAGGAGCTAAAATAATGGAAAAAAGAAAGCATCTTCAGCAAATGGTGCTGGCATAACTGGATGTCAACACGTGAATAAAATTAGATCCATATCTATCACCATGCACAAAACTATAGTCCAAATGGATTAAAGACCTCAATATGATTCCGACCACACTGAACCTGATAGAAGAGAAAGTGGGAAGTAGCCTTCAGTGCATGGGCACAGGAGACCACTTCCTAAATATAACCCCAGTAGCACAGACACTGAGAGCAAAAATAAATAAATGGAACCTCCTGAAACCGAGAAGCTTCTGTAAAGCAAAGACACATTCAATAAAACAAAAGGCAGCCTACTGAATGGGAAAAGATCTTCACCAACCCCACATCAGACAAAGGACTGATCTCCAAAATATATAAAGAACTTAAGAAATTAGATATCAAACTACCAAATAATCCAATTAAAAAATAGGGTATAGAACTAAACAGAGAATTATCAACAGAAGAATCTTAAATGGCTAAAAGATACTTCAGGAAATGTTCACCATCCTTAGGCATCAGGGAAATGCAAATCAAAACAATGCTGAGATTCCTTTTTGCACCTGTCAGAATGGCTAAGATCAAAACCACCAATGATAGCCTATACTGGAGAGGATGTGGAGCAAGGGGAACACTCCTCCACTGCTGGTGGGAATGCAAACTTGTATAACCACTTTGGAAATCAGTGTGGCGGTTTCTCAGGAAATTGGGAATCAACCTACCACTCTTGAGCATATACTCAGAAGATGTTCAATTATTCTACAAAGACATTTGTTTAACTATGTTCATAGCAGCATTATTTGTAATAGCCAGAACCTGGAAACAACCTAGATGCCCCTCAACCAAATAATAGATAAAGAAAATGTAGCACATTTACACATTAGAGTACTACTCAGCGGTAAAAAAAAATATAAAAAAAAAAAAACAAACCAATGACATCTTGAATTTTGCATGCAAATGGATTGAACTAGAAAACACTATCCTGAGTGAGGTAATCCAGACCCAAAAAGATGAATATGGTATGTACTCACTCATAAGTGGATACTAGCTATAAATAAAGGATATAGAGCCTATAGTTCATGATCCTAGTGAAGCTATGTAACAAGGTGAACCCCAAGAAAAACATATAGATCCACCTGCAAAGTCGAAATAGACAAGATCGCCTAACAAAATTGGGAGTATGGAAACAAGGGGAGAAGAGAGGAAGGAAGGGGAAGAGGAGGAGAGAAAGGAATGGAGGAGGAGAACTTGAGGGAACAGGATGGTTGAGATGGAGGAAGGACAGAGAAGAGAGCAAGGAAAGAGATAGCTTGATTTAGGCATCCAGTATGTGGTTAGCAAGACACTTGGTTCTAGAGAAATTCCCAGGAATCCACAAGGGTGACCCCAGCTAAGACCCTAAATAATAGAGGAAAGGGTGCCTGATCTTGACTTGTCCTGTAGTCAAACTGATGAATATCTTAAATATCACCATAGAATCTTCATCCAGCAACTGACGGAGACAGAGGCAGAGACCCACACTGGAGCACTAGACTGAGCTCCCAAAGTCCAGTTGAAGAGTGGAAGGAATGAGAATATGAGCAAGGAAGTCAAGACCATGATGGGTTCACCCACTGAAACAGTCTAGCTGAGCTAATGGGAGCTCATCAACTCCAGCTGGATTGGGAAGGAACCAGCATAGGACCAAACTCGTCCCTCTGAATGCGGTTGACAGTTGCATGGCTGCGGCAGACTGAGGGCCACTGGCAGTGGCACCAGGATTTGTCCTTACTGCTTGTACTGGCCTTTTGGGAACCCATTCTTTTTGGATGGATACCTTGCTCAGTCTAGATATAGTAGGGAGGGCCTTGGACCTTTCCCAAAGCAATATGCCTTACTCTCTCTGAGGAGTGGATGGGGGTGGCTTGGGAAGGAGGTAAGTGGAGGGAATGGGAGGAGGGAAGGGAGTGGGAACTTGGATTGGTATATAATGTAAAAAGTTTGTTTTCTTTTTATAAATAAATAAATAAATATTTCAATCTAGGAAAAAAAAGAACTGTTTCTGAATGTTTGTGTTCCTCAATATTCTTGTTAGAGCCCTGCTCTCATGAATGGAATCAATGCCCTTATAAAAGAGGCTTGAGAGAGCCTATTTGTCCCTTGGGTCACATAAAGATACACAGCAGGTAAGAGGATTAGATGCTTAGCAGACACCAATTTTGCTGATAGCTGATCTTGGACTCCTCTGTTGTGGAACATTTGTTTATGCTATGGAACATTTGTTTAATGATGCAAAGATGTGTTGCATTCTTTTATGCTGCATTTGTTTAACTCTGTGAAGCTATGATTATTTGCCTGTCTAAAACACAGGAACTGAACGGCCAAGAACAAGACAGCATGAAGGATAAGTGGGGCTGGTAGATAGAGAGAATAAACAGAAGGAGAAAAAGGGAGATCTAGGAGCCAGAGAAGGAGAGGAGGACACCACGGACCAACCATCCAGCTACACAGTCAGCCATGGAGTAAGAGTGAAAGTAGGATATTGAGAAGAAAAAGAAAAAGCCCACTGGGCGATGGTGGCGCACGCCTTTAATCCCAGCACTCGGGAGGCAGAGGCAGGTGGATCTCTGTGAGTTTGAGGCCAGCCTGGTCTACAGAGTGAGTTCTAGGACAGGCACCAAAAAAAGCTACAGAGAAATCCTGTCTCGGAAAAAAAAGAAAGAAAGAAAGAAAGAAAGAAAGAAAGAAAGAAAGAAAGAAAGAAAGAAAAAGAAAAAGCCCAGAGGCAAAGGTAGATGGGATACTTAGTTAAGAAAAGCTAGCTAGAAACAAGTTAAGCTAAGGCCGGGCATTCATAGTCTCTGGCGTGATTTTTTGGGAGATGGGTGATGGGCCCATCAAAGAACAAAGAACAAAGAGTAAAAATCAACCAACAATACTTTTCAGTCTCCAGATCTGTGAGCTGTGAGTTACTTGTTTGTGAAGTTATTTAAACTATAGCTTTTTGTTACTGAAGCCTGAACAGACTCCGACTATTACACGATGCTTCTTGGCACTCTCAATTATTATCTGCGTGTGCTGCACGTGTGCTCACAATCTGAAGGGAACAGAATGACCAATAGAAGCTGCCTTACCCAATCATGAACTTCATTTTGCCCTTTCTAGCCGCATCAATTAGGATGGGGACTAATTGGGGGTCCCTTGGGCCAAAAATGCCGTGAGGACGAATGGCTGTGGTTAAGAAATTCTTCTCAGGGTCGTTGGCATCCAGTACTGCCTGAAAGAAATCAAGAGAGAAAGGGGCACTGTAAGACTTCTCCTGGCTAAGATGGTACCTTACTGTATGTGGAGACAGATGAATGACATACTCAGTGTATGTGCAGGCCATTGGGTAGTTGTCTGTCTTGGCACAACATCTCACATTATAATTCTGAGAAATCAACAGTGAAGGAGAAAACTGGCTAATACCTGCTAGGATGAAATCAGAAAGCTCAGGTCAGGGTTCAATGGCCAAACACACATGTAGCCAGAAGGTGTATCTTGGCTTCAATTTATGGAAAAGGCCTGAGAGTTTTAGTTAATGAGGTAGACTTGAGCCTCCAGCAAGGCTACTACCAAACCAAAAGAGCTCCTGAATTCAGTGGCGTGTACAAGGCTTCAAACATACTCTTCACCATGCAATGAACAGTCCGCTCAACAACAGACAGATAGCTCGGGAGTTAGCTTGGCCAACAGAGCACAAGGACACATACATATAAAGATTATAGTCCTAGCCACTTTAAGCTAGTTTTCAATCGAGTATATGGCAATCACAGCTTCCTGACCCCACTCCCCTCAAATGCTGCTAAGTGTCTGTGATGCTGAGGGGAATGGCCAAGCCTTCAAACGGCCTCTGACATGGTTATCTCTATGTTTGAAAAGTTGCTAGACAAATCCCAAAGAAGACTTATTATGAAGAGTGTTTCGGGTGATGTTGATCTTGAAAACAAGGTAAGTTACTGCTGGAGTCTCCTTCAGTTTTTCTGACTTCTAGTTGAGTTCACGCCAGTGACATATTAATGGCTTGAGCCCAGGCTTCCATCTGGAGATCATGAGCCAACTGAGCTGTGGGCTGGAAGCCTAGCACCTTAGGTGACAGTGTACAGGGCCTCTGAGCTAACTAGTATTGTCTGGAAGCCCATGGTAGGCTTTGGTCTCCCGTAAGCCTAGCTCCATAGAACAGGAGGGCATAGCCTGGGCATAGGACTTCTTAACTAGGTGAGAACAGGCTCTGTTGTGGCCTCCATGTGACTGTGTCCTGTTCTGAGATGGAAGTGAGCTTCAGTTTCCAAGTACTGGCCTGGAGAGCAAGCTTCAGTGTGTAATGTGCTGGAAAGGCCTAGGAAACAAGTCCATAGCTGCCCAAGTAACTGTAAGGGCCCAGGGCTGTCCCAGCCTGTAGTACAGGGTTTCCAGTGTTCAGGTGACCTCAGTGCTCAGCCCACAATTACACCCTCTTTAATCAGTGTATTTTCCTGTCATCTGGTAAAAGTGCCTGTCGTATTAGATATTTTTGGAGGTTAAAGGAAGTAGTCCCCAGAAAATATTGAGAATAGTATTTGGCCACAGTATATCATTCTGTCCTTTTGAATTTAATTCTGCAAATGAATTTACATTTCATGTTGGGTACTTGGGTCTCAAAATACTAACTTTTCCATATTCACAGACATTTTTTTCTTATGAATGGAGACACTTGAGGTATCTGTTCATTTAATTGGCTTTGAAGTACATACTTTCTCCTGCAAGATCTTGGTCTCTGTGTAGTAGTCAATGGGCTTCATGGCATAAGGGAGGTCCTCAGTTCCATTTTTTATGTCCGTACCCTCAAAGACGACACTAGCACTGCTGGTTAAAATCAATTTCTGGCAGAGAAACATTTAAAGGAAAACAAAAGTCAGGAAGTTTTGCTATTCCAATTGCCTAAGTGTCATATATGAGCGAGCCCCATCCACAAGGCACTTCAAAGTTACTTGCTGGAGTATATTTTCTTTTTAAGTCTTCTAAGAAAACCTTTGTAGCCATAGGGACTTTAGACACATTATGGTATTACAATTTAAAATAATGGATCTCATTTTTTCCCATCCTATCATATCTAAGGGAGAAAACAAAACTAACACTATTCATGATAGATCTCTATGGGAGGGCGCCTCCATGGAGGGAAGGATGGACTACCAACCAGTAGGGAAATTTCTGCCTGCAAAATTCCACTGGATACTCTGATACCAATCTTGCCATATAAATAAAAGCATATGCATATGCACATAACTTAAGGCATGCTTTGCTAGTAGAGACAAGCACCTAGCATGTGTAAGGTTCAATTCACAGCAGCAGTATAAAAGGCAGGCAGGCAGGCAGGCAGGCAGGCAGGCTGGCTATATCTTTTGCAGGTCCCCAGATTGCATCATTCTGGTTAAGAGCAGTTCATCTGATACTGACATCATTGGTTCTGTTAGTTATATTTTTTACTGCTTTTATTCTATATCATTCTATAAATCCTAGCTACAGTGGTAAACAAACACCAATTTATGTTTTAAAAAAACAAGACAACAAACTAATCTCATTGGTCCAGTGTTTCTCAACCTTCCTAATGCTGTAACCCTTTAATATACAGTTCCTCATGTGGTGACCACAACCATAAAATTATTTCATTGCTACTTCATAACTTTAATTTTGCTACTATTACTAATTGTAACGTAAACATGATATACAGGATATCTAATATGTTATATATGTCCTATATTAGATATCCTGTATATCGCATTTCTACATCTTTCAGTTATTTGATTCCCAAAGGGGTTGTGGCTCACGTGTTGAGAACTACTGCCATAGTAGATGATAGAAATAAAAAGATATAATACATATCAAGTTGAGACAGGACCAAACCTCTCCCCGCTGTATTGAGGCTGAGCAAGGTATCCCTCCATAGTTGACTCCCTATGGGAAGCCTTACCCTTTCTGAGGAGTGGATGGGTGATTGGGTGGGGAGGGATGGTGAGGGAGGGAGAACTGTTGTTGGATGTAAAACGAAGAAAAAAACTTTTAAATAAAGAATATACAATGCCTACATGGAGTGGGTAAGCCTACAGAAAATATTAAGGGTTCAGCAAACTAGCTGAATTCAAAATCAATATAAGGAAATTAGAAGCTGGAGAGATGGCTTAGTGGTTAAGAGTGTTTAGTGCTCTTGAAGAAAACCCGAGGTGGGTTCTCAGCACCTATATTATATGACTCACAACCACCTGTAACTACAGTTCCAAGGGGATTTGATGCCTTTGGTGTGGCCTCTGAAAGTTCTGTACACACACACACACACACACACACTCACATTCTCTCTCTCTCTCTCTCTCACACACACACACACAAATAAATACCAAACAAAACCCCCTAAAACCACTATAAATCTATCTATTTCTATACCTATCTATGAAAATTTGCTGTATTCCTAAACATTAACAGTAACTGAAAATGTAGTATAAGTTGGTGATTAACAAATGATGGGGTTCACAGGAGTAAGTATAATAAAAGATATATAAAACCTCTGTGAAGTACAGTACAATTATCACTGAGTGGCATTACAGATGGGGGATGTTTCATCATAAATAGGAACAGTCAATGTTAGAAAGACATCAGATCTTTTTTAAATTACCCAGAACATAAATGCAACTGCAGTAACAATCCCAGGCAGCTTCATCAAGTAACTTGACAAGCTGATTCTACAGTGGAGGGGAAAACTTGAACAAAAGGCTCAGAGTAGCTAAGGGATCTTCGAAGAAGCTGGTCAGATACTGATATGTATGCTAAGGTAGAGCTTATACCCATGAGATCAGAGAGGTCAGTGCAGTAGACAGAAAACCTGGGAACAAATTCAGGCAAAACAGGATGCTCAAAGGATGATGCAGGCAGGATATATGTGCACAAAGTTTGGATTAAGCCATCAGCATGCTGAATTATTTGAAAAAAAAAATTGATCTTGATCCTGTTGCATATATCATAGATTCCTGGTTAATTAGATTTAAATATGCAAAGTAACACTTTAAATATTTGAGATAAAATGCATTAAAGACTTTGGTTTTGGTGTTGGAAAATCAGTTTCTCTTCGGCCTTACACACTAAGCTATCTACCCTCTTAGAGGACAAACAAGATATATATATATATTTCTCAAAATGCATAAAGTTTCAGAAAGACATGTTCAGCATGACATGATATTAGTGCTCCAAAGTTCTACAACATGCTGTTAGTGCATGGAACTAATAGGAATAACAAGTGCAGGTTTAGAACCACTGTCCCACATGGGTGAAGAAGGGGCAGTGGCAATGAGGAAGGGGCATAGGTGGCTTCAGTCATGCTAGTAGTAAGCACTACATCCACTGTATTGTTCTGTGCCTTCCATTTCACAGCAGCGGGGGCTTCACAGAACTCCAGCTACATACACATCCTGGAGTGGAGAGTCTGGAACGTGGCAGCAGAGGGCCTGCTTTGAATCCCACCTCTTTTATTTACTACCGGAGACTTTGCTTAGCCCCTGGCTACCTAAGGAAAAGAAAAGTAGGTGACAAACACAGTAGGGCAAAGTTCCTGTCAAGTACAAAGCATACCTGAGTATGACAGTTGGTTCTGATGGGTTTGGAATCACCCAGAAAGTACACAGCTGGGCATGCCTGAGGGGTTTAGCTTATGGAAGGAAATCCACCCTGAATGGGATCATGGGCTGAGGTCCTGAACAGGAAGTTAATTGAATACTGTCATTCATTTCTCTCTACTTCCTGCTTACAGATGTAATATGATTACCCAATGGGAATTTTAACTGATGGGAATACAGAAGAGCTCCCTCCTCACCTACTCATATTGGACCCATTGATTACTGGGAACTGGCCAAAGGTCCCGAGGAAGATAACTGGAAGAAGAGCCCCTACTCTCTGTACCCTTTTCTCAGTTTCACAGATCTCTAAGTGTTGTAAGCTGATACACGGCTAAAATTTGTATGCTTTTCGGCCTAAGTCAGCATAGGTTGCTATCATGTAAAAGCAGTAGTGCCCCCCCTTTTAAATGAAAGCAGTTTGATAAACAATGTGAGGAATTGTTTAAAGGATTCAGCACAAAATTAACTTCTGATCCAGGAATCCCACCTCTGGGTAGCTACCCAAAAGAATCAAAAGTGAGGACTGAGGCAGGCATTTGTAGTCTCTGTTCACGGAAGTATAATTCATAGCAGCCCAAAGGCAAAAGCAACACAAACGTCTACTGATGGCTATTTATTCTCTTTCATGTGCATGGAAGTGTGTGTATGTACGGAGGTCAGAGGTCTATGGTGGAGGTCTTCCTCAGTCTCTCCATCCATAAATGGGGAGTATTAGTCTTGAAAAATGAAGGAAATTCTGACGAACTACAATGTAGATAAACCTTATAGACATTGTGGTAAGTACAAGAAGCATACCACGAAAGGATAAAACCTGTTTGAATGCACTTGATAGTAAGAGACAGAAGTGGAGAATAGTGGCTGCCAGGAGCCAGGGAGGGGCAGAAGACTGCAGAACTTCTGTCTACTGCATGGATAGAGAAGACAGTGATAACAGATAATGAAGTGAATATAGCTAACATCACCGAATGCATACTTGCAAAAGGGTTACAGTGGTTACAAAGTATATTGAAAACATTATGTACACGTTGTTTCAACAGAGAAAACAAGCAACATCAAAATTTCATATCTCTTGAAGCAAAAATGAATAAGCCTTAGCCTATCTGAACACTCAGATGGTCTATCTGTATTGGAAGAGTATAACCTCAACTGGTTGGCCCTCTGTGACATCAACTGGTGCCCAGGGCTTAATTTTTAGTATCTTCTTAACATGAAAGAGGCAACCCTGGATAAGCCCAGGAAGAGGGTTAAAGGGAACAACTCCACCTCCCCTCCCTCTGAGAAAGCAAGCCCATGCTCCAGATACTAGTTACCGCAGCATTTCCCTTACCTGAACCCCAGCCTCTTTGCAGGTTTCAATGACATTCTTGGTGCCAATGAAATTCACTCTATAAAAGAGTTCCTTGTTGTTACCGGATGGTGGGGGTGACGCACAGTGGAAAACTGTGCTTACACCTTTCAGAGCTGGGTACAGGTCCTGGAAAAGCACACAAGACAAAAGAATCATTCCAGCTTAGGGCAGGTCAACAGCCTTCTCACGTTCTCGGTCATCTGTGGCCTGTAGGCCTTTTGGATTTTTATAATTCTGTAAGCAACACAGAAACATATGCTTTGTAAAAGACTCAAACTACACAGGAGTATGTGGGATAAAACCATGTTTTCTTTGAATTGCCCCTTTAATTACCTTGTCCAGAATAAAAAGGGAGTATGAGAAGTCAGACACCGCAGTGACTGGAAGAGGCATACAGTGACTCAGTTTCACTTACTAGAAGGAACCTTGTAAGACAAACAGGCGGCTGCAGATCTGGGCGTAAACACACTAAATAAACCAGGAAGGCCTTTTCATATTGTGAAGTAAAGAGGCTCTCCAAGCCTGCTGGAGGCTTCAAAGACTTAAGAACCAGCACACAGAGACTCCTACTGGCCAATGAGGAGGCTATTTGCTCAGCAGTTAGAATAAGAGTGGTTAGTGAAAGTGGAGAATAGAGAATAATTGATTAATTCGAGCAAAAAAGATCTGAGGGGCTAAATGAACAGAATGACAAAATGCCACCATTGTGCCAAATCTCCAAATTCATGGTTATCACCAGAAGAAAGAAAAATCACTAGATGCCATAAAATCCTTTGTCACTATACACAAACATAACAGTTCTGGGAAACCATTTGAGAGTAAGGAGTCACCTTCTAGGCCCAAATAACTATCAAATGATGAACAGTAGGCACACTCCAACACATAGGATATTCTTTTCAAAATTAAATTTTATATTGTTGTGTGTGTGCGCGCGCATACATGTGTGGATACCAGAAGACAATGTAGGATATCTCCCCCCTCCCTTTTTGAGACAGGGTCTCACTATGTAATCAGTCTGGCTGGCCTGGAACTTACTATGTAGATCAGGCTGCCCTCAAACTCACGAGATTCGTCTGTCTCCAGTTCTCACATTTTAAAAGACACCTTGTAGTTTCAGTAGGCTGACAAGCCAACAAGCTCCTGAAATTTACCCATCTCCACTTCTCTAATACTTGGCTCATAGGCTTGCATGACCATGCATAGCTTGGGATTGTTTGTGTGCTCGGGAGATTTGAACTCTTGCTTTAATAGCAAGTGCTTTTACTCACTAAGCTATCTCCTTATCTCCTAGCTACTCTTAAGTTTGTTACTCCATATTTAAGCCTTCCTAACCATTATGACAATATCCTTTATACGTGTTTTTATTTGGGGGTTTAGAGTCCAAATGTGGACCACTCATATGTGAACCTTGAGTTCTTTTCATTTCTGTTAATCTGGAGCAATCCCCTGAGTTTTGCTTTCCTGTAATATTTCACAGGACCAGGGAGGTTAATTTATTGACTTTTGCTCTATTTGCATTTGTTTGTTCATTCACGATTATATTCACTTAATAGTTTTGGCCATTTCCAGATTCCCTTTATGGTTTTGTCTAACTTGTGCAAGTGGCTAACAGAATTCAGGTAAGCACATTTACTGACTTGCTATACAGGAAGTACAAAGGGTACCGGTAAAGAGATGCACAGGATGAGGTGTAAATGAGTGGTATGGGGCTTCCCCACCCACCTGTGCACTAGCCTCCAGTCTCACGACATAAGCAAAACTGAAGCATAGAAATAAGGAAAGTGAAACGGAAGCCTGGCAAGGTCTGGCAGGTCAGATTCTTCTTGGCTGCTCTGTGTAGCATTCCTTCCTCCTAGATATGGAGATGGATCCCTTCTGACACTGGGTGGGGAAAAGCACATAAGACTCATCTTTAGGAAGATGAATTGTAGTTCCTATAGCCTGCATTAGAGAAGGAACTGTGAACTAGGAAATGTGGATGAATATTTATATCTCTGCTATATCTATTCTTTCTCTCTTCTCTCTCATGTGTGTGTATACATGCATAGGGGTTTGTAGCCATGATGCACCAGGATGGGGGGACCTGAACCACACCAAGTCTTTAGTTCTATAGAAATAAATGAAATTGGATGTGGTGCCTCATATGTGCAATCCCAGCATTTGGGAGCTGGAAGCAGAAGGATTGTTGTGAATAGGAAGCCAGTATGCTCAACATAGTAATAAGTTCCAAGCCAGCCTAAACTACAAAGCAAGACCCTGTCTCAAAATACACATCCTATCAAAGTCTAAATTTTATAGCAATAGACATAATCAATGTAAAACTATTAAGGTATTTATTGGTTTTGTACTCAGTCTTTGAAATTCAACTTGTATTTTAAAGTGTCTTTCAGTGCAGACTTGTCTTAACTGAAGTGCTAGATGGGCATATGTGCCCAGTGCCTGCCTCACTGGACAGTGTACCAGTTCACAGGAAACAGCAGGTGGCAGAGACATGCTGATGCCCTGAAGATGCAATTAGCAACATCCAGACTCTAGGAAATGCTGTTCGATGATGAACAAGCTAAGCACCACTAAGTCAACACACATACTACAGCATCTTGGGAACTTAGAAATCAAATAGTCTCAACTGTGTTTAACTCTCTATTTGAAAAAACAAATATGGATGCCTTATGAAGTAGTTAATGAATGACTGACATTAAGGAGCATTATTATTATTATTAATGGTGTCTCTGAGATTGACAATTATGTAATGCTTTCCATAAAAATGAGTTTTATGTTTTAGAGATAAAAACTGAAATGTTTACACATGGACTGATAGATATGTTGGAGATTGGCTTCAAAGTAACTGTGGATAGGGAGATGGACACACCGAGAAGATGGCAGCAAACTGCTTGATGTGCAAGTATAAGGGTCTGAGTTGGAGCCCTAGGATCCATGTTAAAAAAAAAACAATAACACAACAACAAACCAAACCAACTAAAACCAAAACCAAACATCTGGTTGCTTGGAAGGCAGAACCAGGACCTAAATAGAGTGCATTGAAAGGGGGTCCTGCGGCTGGCAGCACTGGGAGGCTGAGGCAAAAGGATTATTTTTAAATGTTCCCCTGTCATGTTCTTACCTGCATCATGTCCACCTTTCTTTCCTTAGCTCAGAATTCAGAACCCACTGTTGGAGCTTTGCCTTACTCCTCTGACCCTTTATCCCATTTGTCTGACAAATGCCTGCTCTGGTCCAGTGCACCTTGTCCCCAGTCCCTGCCTGCACCGGAGATGCTGAGTGTGACTAGAGAATCAGATACAGGTGTGGGCAGACTTTTAGAGTGCTGGGGCTACAACCTGAAGGAGAATTTGCTCAGACAAAAGGACAATATCCTTCAAACTCTTGGTGAAGAAACCCTAAGAACAAAGCAGGTTTCTCTAAGAGGCTGGGGTTCTAATCAGGACACTGTGTCCGTTCTCCCCAAGGTTCCTGCCTGTCCCACTAACTTCACACTTCCCCCCACAACCACATAAACTTCTTCTTTGAATTCAATCTCAGTTGTTTTCGCCTTCTTGCCCTGTGCACAGCCCCTCTCTCGCCCACTGGGGACTGTCTCTTTGGAGAACCCTGGATGACATGTGACTTGAAGAGAATGGTGCAGGACAACAAAGGGGCTATGGAGCCAAAGCTGGTGAGGAAACAGTAAAGACAGTGACAGTAGAAATGGCCACAGTTGCTCCTGCTGCAGTGGTAGAGAGCAGGACCAGGAAGAGGTAAAACAGTGCCCAACATGCCGTGTCTGCCATGGAGAGAATGTACTTATTGGGGAGGACAGGTCTGGGCTAGGGAATTACAATGGGAGTAGAGGAGTAGAGCATTAACTGCAAAGGAGAAGAGACAAAACCAGCAAGGCTATCTTCTTAAGCATCCAATTCAACAAGAGTACCAGAAATGCTGATGCGGCCATCATCAGCAAGGAGCTGAAACCATTGTGGAAGTCACTTGTGAAGGAGAAGAAATGATTATGGATGGTTGCCATAAACAGACCCAACAGCTTTGCTGAGCAACTTTGCTGATGTAGGAGGGTCATCTGTCTATATGTTACTTTCATTGGTTAATAAAGAGACTTGGCCTTTTAATAGGGCAGAAAATTAGGTGGGTGGAGTAGACAGAACAGAATGCTGGGAAGAAGGCAATGAGGCAGACGCCTCAGGCAGATGCTATAGCTCTCCTCTCTAAGATGGACACAGGTTAAGATCCTTCCCGGTAAGCCACCACCTCGTGGTACTACACAGATTATTAGAAATGGGTTAATCAAGATGTGAGAATTAGCCAGTAAGAGGTTAGAGCTAATGGGCCAAGCAGTGTTTAAAAGAATACAGTTTCCGTGTAATTATTTGGGTAAAGCTAGCCAGTGGCCAAGAACTGGGAGGCAGGAAGCAGCCTGCAGCTCTTACTACACTGCAAAACCTACAAATATTCAAAAAATCTTGCTACCTATGAACTTTGCAGAACAGAGAAAATGGAACAACTGAAGTGAATGAGCAGGGCTGGGATGAGAGTGGGAAGTGAACAGGTACAAGATTTCCTTTGGAAGTGAACATGTTCTGGAAGTCAATAATGGCGAATGACTGCTGAAAAAAAAATATATATATATATATATATATATGTGTGTGTGTGTGTGTGTGTGTGTGTGTGTGTGTGTGTGTGTGTGTGTATGTATGTATATATTCAAACTATAGTTTTCTTGGCCTTTGAGCACCTGGTTTTGCCTTTGGGGGGTCCTACAGGAGATTAGTGAAGCAGAGTAGGTCCCTTACCTGTTGGCTGCAGAGATCACCTATAAAGAACTGCACCTGGGGGTTATCAAACCCTTGGCGGATATCGAATACATTGACAGCATAGCCTCGTGCCAGCAACTGCTCCACCATGTGCTGCCCCAGGAACCCAGAGCCTCCAATCACCGTGCACTTCTTGGCCTGGGGAAAGAGGGAATGGCAAGAGGACCAGAAGTGTGAAGACTAACATGATAAAGGTCAGACTTACGTACCAGGAGCCATTGCAATGGCATATACATCTGTCTGTCTGAAACTGCCTGAGCTCAGGGAAAAGCTTAGTATAGCTGTGTTTGATCAACAGTGTCACCTGTTCTCTTGGGTTTAACAAGAAGGAGAGAGAAAACAAATGACTCTAGGCTAGACTGGTAGATTTGATGACATAATCCCCACCTTATATTTAGTGGAAGGGAATTAAAAGTCCTATGATCACACCAGACAATCTAAACAAGCAAAAAGCCAAAGGCTGTGCCTTCTTGTTCCTGATTGGTAATCCCTTGCCAGAAAAAAAAAAATCTAGCTATTTCAGAGTTTCTAATGAAAGCATCCGTTTCCAAACTCAAAGGACAGTGATTTTCTCTGCCTCCATGCCCATAAGGAGGGTGGATCTTGTGGCTCTGGGATGACCACTTAACCCCTTCTGGCCTCAGCCCATGTATTAAGTGCTACGCTACTAGGATCTCCATGTAGAACCAGGGAGCCATTTATCACTCAGACCCAGGGCTTTGCTGTGCCTTCTCGGAACTCAGAGGAATGGATGACTCAGCATTGGGATGTGGTATTTAGATTCCAGCTTCCCCAGTGCATCCAATTTCTTAGCTAAATTCAGACTCTGGGAAGTGGGGTAATGGAAGGATAGTATACTACCTGTAGGTGTATAAGTATTAGAACTTTAGGATGTCAATGCAAATGTTCGCTGGCATCTGCTCAATAATCTGGAGACCTTATCAGTAACCTTTTCTCACTGCTGTAAGAAAATATCTATCAGATGCAGCTTAAGGAAAGAAGGATTTATTTTGGCTCATGGTTTAAAGGATACAGGCCATCATGGTGATAAGACATGATAGCAGGAGAGGCAGGTGGCCATACTGCATTTCTGGTCAGAAGAGAGGAAGGTACAGACACACACACACACACACACACACACACACACACACACACACACACTGGCGCTTGGCTGACTTTTTCCTATCACCTTTTCACTGAGTCTGGGATTCTAGCACATGGGATGCTTCAGCAACATTTAGGGCAGGTCTTCCCTCATCAGTTACACATATCTGGAAACAACCTCACAGACATCCTCAGAGGCTTGTCTTCTAGGCATCTACAAATTTAGTTCTCTTAACAATGAAGATTACCCACCACACTACCACTGTCCCTAAGCTGTACCTGGGCTTCCCTAAGATGACAGACCCAATTTTCTTAGCTTGTATGGAATCAGTCAGTGTTGGCTATGTGAATAGTCAAGATCAAAAAGAACTCTGTTACTTATTATAAAATAAAGCAACCAACCTCCCCTCTTTTAAATAATCTTAAAATGATTTATCTTTATTTTACATGTATAGGTATGTATTTATCTTTATTTTACATGTATACTTGCATGTATGCTTGTGCATCGTATGCAAGCAGTGCCTGTGAAGGCCACAAGAGGGCGTCAAATCCTCTGAACTGGAGTTACAGGTGGTTGTCAGCCAATATATGGATGCTGGGAAATGAACCTGGATCTGGAAGAACATCAGTTGCTCTTAACCTTCCCTCTTGTACCTTAAACATTGACATAAAAAAGCTATGTGACATACTCAGGACTTGTCAGGGCCAGGTACCATCTGCAGATTTCTCTCTCTTACTGTGGATGTCCATTCTAACATGGCTCTCATATCTGTAGACATGCTCAGCCTCCTCACTGCCCATCAACTGCCTCTCTGGCAATCTTTCCCTTCCATCTCTTTCTACCTCAGTTTCACAGGCATATTATATGCACTTAGAACCACTCTGATTTTTATGGCCAGTCCTCAGAGCTCCTGCTGATGCTCTCTAGCACCTCTAGGTTCAGAGATCACATAAGGCTCAGAGTCCAACTGTTTTACAAAAAGTCAAGGGACTGGTGAGATGGCTTAGTGGTTAAGAGGGCTTGCTATGCAAAGATACGGTAAGTTCACATCCCCAGCACCAATGTGAAGTCAGGCATGGCTGTACATGCCTGCAACCCCAGATTTAAGGGACAGGTGGATTCGGAGAACTTGCTGACCAGTCATATTAGGCAAAACAACAACCTTCTAGTTTACAGAGTACAGTAGTTTGAGTAAGAATTAAGAATGTCCCGCATAATCTTGGCATTTGAATATCTTGTTCCCAGTTGGTGATGCTGTATGGATAGACTTATGAAATATGGCCTTTCTGAAAATATGTCATGAGGGGTGGGCTTTAAAGTTTCAGTCTCCTGTCATTCCCAGAACTCTCTCTTGGCTTCATGCTTACAGTTCAAAATGTGAGTGTTCAGTTTGCTGCTCCAGCCACCACGTCTGCCTACTGCCATGGTGGTGATAGACCCTTCTCTCTCTGGAATCATACACCCAAATAAACCCTTTATTCGATGAGTTGCCTATGTCATGGCATTTTATCTCAGCAATAGAAAAATAATTATTATGGCAATAGACTGTCTAAAAGAAATAGGCGGAGAGCAATAAAGATACCCCGTGTCAGCAGGGCAGTGGTGGTGCATGCCTTTAATCCCAGCACTAGGGAGGCAGAGGCAGGCGGATCTCTGTGTGATGTGTGATTCCCCTCTGTATGCTGTGAATACCATTGGTTAATAAAGAAACTGGCTTGGCCTGATAGGGTAGAACAGAGTTAGGCAGGGAAAATTAAACTGAGTGCTAGGAGAGGGAAGGCAGAGTCAAGGGAGAAGCCATGGAGCCGCCACTAGAGACAGACACTCTGGAACTTTGCTGGAAGGCCACGACCTTGTGTGATGCACAGATTAATGGAAATGAGTTAAATTAAGATGTAAAAGCTAGCCAATAAGAAGTTAAAGCTAGCTGGGCAGTGGTGGTGCACTTTAATCCTAGTACTCGGGAAGCAGAGGCAGGTGGATCTCTGTGAGTTCGAGGCCAACCTAGTCTACAGAGTGAGTTCCAGGACAGGCTCTAAAGCTAAAGAGAAACCCTGTCTCGGAAAAAAAAAAAAGAAGTTAAAGCTAATAGGCCAAGCAGTGATTTAATACAGTTTCTGTGTGATTTTTTTCAGGAGTCTGGGTGGCCAGGAAACAAACAAGCTACTTCCTTACAACATCTGTGCATGAACCACACAAGTATAGGCATATATATATATATATATATATATATATATATATAATATACACACACACACTCTCTCTTTTAACAAACCCTTATAATTTTGTATTTGTTTACATATTTAAGCATTTATTTATTTGTTGAAACAGGGTCTCTCTAAGTATCCCTGGCTGTCCTGGAATTCCTTATGTAGACCAGGCTGGCCTTGAACCTATAGAGATTTATCTGCTTCTGCCTCCCAATCCTGGGATTAAAGGTATATGTCATCATACCTAGCTCTCATTTCTGATTTTAAATGTGATTAATCAGTAAATCTATTCATGAACAGGATGACATGGATTCCCTCCTTATACTGATATATTACACTGATATTATTCCTGGGACAACTGAGCCAACAGCTAGTCAATAGATTTTTATAGTGATGGAAATCAAACTTGCCTCTGTTCAGAGATGTCAAACATGCAAAGGTAAATGTCTTTAATCCTATGTCTAAGGCTATGTGAGGAGGCCATGTGAAATAATCAATAACTTTTTGTGACCATAGCAGACGAAAAAAAGAGAATAAATACTGATAAAAATGAACTTTCAGATGGGATACAAGTACTGAGAATGGACCAAATGGATAAATAAGCCTCTTGGAGATGATAGTGTTAGGAATAGGAGAGGAATGGACTTGGGTGGGTGTATAGCTCAGTGATGGAGCATATCTGTTAGGCTATGTTTCATTTCTAGCACCACAAAATAATTTAATTCAACTGTAATATAATCTCAAGAGCATGGCTGGGACCCCTGGGTTTTCTCCAATATTTTTGGTTTTACTTTTTCTTCAACAGGATAATGTATGTTTTTTTCATAGCAGTCCTACCTAGAATAAACATATAAGACAAAAGTATTCTTCCTTAGTAGCTTATATTTAGACATTTATTTCTTTGAAAGTCACTCCATGGAAAAAAAGAGCTCATTCCAAAGCATTAAAGAAGGTTCAAGAACCAGGTGGTGGTTGCACACACCTTTAGTCCCAGCACTTGGGAGGCAGAGGCAGATGGATCTCTGGGAGTTCAAGGTCAGTCTGGTCTAAATGAAGGAAAGAAAAAAAAAGAAAAGAAAAGAAGGAAAGAAGTGTGATGTATCAGGAGTGAAGTACATCACTATAAGCTTGAAGACCTGGCCTATGTAAAGAATCACCACCACAGCCTGGCCTCCCCTACTTTTTTAAAGTACTTACTTTGGAAATGTCTTTTGTTGAATGTGTCTCTTTTGATTCACCAACTGCTTGTTCCATTATGGCTCAAACTATAGTCTTGTTTGCAAAAATCAACTCTTCTTCCTAAAGACATAATTAGAGAAAGACATTAATAGTAAGTGAAGCAAAGCATCTCCAGCTATTATCACGAGTGTTCATAAATAGCTGAGCCATAGCTATACCCACTGGCCAAAGTACCCTGTGCTAGAGTCTGCTCTCTCGGGGTATGGTAGGCCCTGAAATTTACAGAGCACTGAATTAAAGGCAGGACAGGAAAGCAGATAAATATGACTCCTTCACTACTCAAACCAAAAATCTTTGGGCTGTGGTTGGAGAATGGTGGTGACCAAGCATTTTACAATGGTAGACAAGAGTAACCAAATACGATCGATGCTACCAAACAGAAAAGTGCGGCCCAGGTGAAGGCCTCATCATATACTCCCCTCTTCTTTCACCCACAATATCAACTTGCAAACACAAGGTATTTGCTGATGCAATATGTGTAAATGGCAAAATGTACCAGAAATAATAGTCTATCTATGAAAGAAGATGCAGAGAATGCCAATGGGGAAAGAAATGTCAGGCAGTCAGCACTGACTGGGTCTTGAGATGGCTCCAATCCAATTTCCACACTTTCAAATGGTGGGTGCCATCATATTTCCCTAGAGGACTTGATTTTAGGACTGTACTGATTTTGTGGGCATATCAAAGACCCAAATATCCTTGAAATGGCTTATTACAACCCTCAATGTTTGATGGGTCATTTACAGAGAGGTTTTACAAACTCATAATGGAAGTTATTAGTTGTCATTATTAATTTTGTCAAACTGACAGGATTTAGAACCCTCTCTAGGAAGACTCTTGGCCTGCCTGTGAGGACATTTCCAGAGAAGCTGAGCTGAGGTGCAAAGACCTACACTTGAGTGTGGGTGGCACTATCCGTGGACTGGGATCCTGGACTAAATAAAAATGTGAAAGCAACGGAGATGTGGCTCAGTGGTCAAGAGTACCAGCTGCTCTTGTGGAAGAACTGTGCTTGGTACCCAGCAACCACATGGTGGCTTACAACTGTCCTAGAGCGTTGGGATCTGACACCCTATTCTGTCCTCTGTTAGCACTAGGTATACATGTGGTGCACACATACACACAGTGCTTATACACGTAAAATAAAATTTAAAAATCTTAATTCTTTTTAATTTAAAAAAGTAAGAAAGAGAGTTGAGCATCAGCATCTGTTCTCTGCTTCCTGACCGCAGATGCAACATGACCTGCTACCTTACACTCCTGACATCATGACTGCCTCACCATGAGGGACTGTATTCTCATACCATACTAAACCTCTGCCTTCCATAGGTTGCTTTTCCCCAGGTATTTCCTCACAGCAACAAGAAAAGTAACTAATGCATCAGTTCAGTATATTTCAGAACTTGCCTTCTCCTGGGTCTCTGTGCATACATCTAATGACGATGGATAGCCAACCTGTAGCTCTGTGCTTACCCCATCCCTCTCTTTATTGCACACTTATCGGGACCTGACATCTACGCACCTCAAACAGACATGGCTCACATGGCTCTACATAAGTAAGACAGAAGCTGCTTGAGTTGCAAGACCAGGGCACAAATCGATCAGTGGAGTTAGTGGGCACCCAAGCCTCATCATCACTCCCGTCAGGCTTAGCACCCTGTACAGGACCAGGTCTGATGATGCAATGGGAAGACAAGGACTCCCGCAATGCTAACACTTACTCACCCAATGGATACGTTATCTCGAGAAAATACTGCAAAGCAGAGGTCCTGTAAAAAAAAAAAATTAGAAGAAGAAGTAAGGCCTCTTCCTACAGAATTCAAAGACATGGCACAGGGTGAAAGTGCTTAGGAGGGCATTTGTTTCCAGAGGTCTCAGGTGAGCCATCCAGCTGGACTCTGTCTTTTCACAGGCCACATGTCCCTCACTTCCTCATGTTGCTTGATTACTTTTCGGTCACAGAAAGCACCCAGCTTTAAATTTGCAACAGGCCACCCAGCAGTCCCTCACCACATCCAAGCCGAGCTTCTATTGTTCCTTTCCTATCTCCTTTCTGGGTCAAGGTGAGTTCTCCCTTATTCTTCAAGGCCAGTCTCAACTGCTCCCTGTGAGCCCTGCTTCTACTTCCTCACCATCTGTTCTCAATGCTCTCCTCCTGGGTTCAAGCACCATCTGGTAAATTACCTGTTGCTGTTGTTTTCGGGGCTGCATCTGGGAAAGAGTCATCTTTCCTGCCTACCTCAGATTGCTATGGGGCTCAAAGGAGCCCATAAGACCGAGTGTCACAAATTTTCAAACACCAGCCACTGTTAGGTAGAAACCAGTGAAAACACAGTTCATGCCTTCAAAGAAATCATCAACTTGTGTGGAAAACAAAAAGCTTCAAAGAATGACAAAGCTGTGTTTGGGTCCTAAGGAGGACAAGCGGACAGAACCAACGTAGGCTGCTTGGTCACATGAAGTAACCTGACAGAAGAAACAAGAGACTGTTCACCTTTTAGCAGTCAGGAAGCAAGAGACTTCCAGGCCATGACCCTAATGCCCTAACAGTTTCCCAGCATATCCCATTTTGTATAGGTTCCACTACCTTCCAATAGCACCATGGGTGGGGACCAAGTCCTCAATACAGGGACTTCTAAGGAATATTTAAGAATCACTTTTTGCAAAGAGGGGCATGAAGTCAAGAAGGTCAGCAGGGGTAAAACTGCAGGAGGCTTCGGTGGGCTTTATTCTTTAAACTGAAGTTTATAAGCAGGGGACTGATCTGACCAGAGCTGGTCACAGCAAATTAACCTGGTGGAGCATGTGTGTATGTTGGTAGAGGGGTATATAGGTAAATTATGGGAAATTAAGAAACTACTTACCAACTTGCTGATAGACTAAGTTTCACTGAATACCTAACACATATTCCTCCCTGCTCCAGATACTAGAGTGTCAGCAGTGAACAAAAATGTTCAATTTACAGTGGCTTATGAGGTGACAAGTGCTACCATAAAAATAGAGCAAGATGGGGGGCTCGTATACAAAATGAGTAAGTCGCTTACTTTAATGAGAAGGCGATAAGGGCTGAAGAACTGGAGTGGGGAGGAGAGATGCAGGGCCAGGTGAAGCGAAAGTTCAGGGTGGGAGGTGCATGGCTCTGGAAGGAGTAGACAGTGATATGATCGAAATATATTGCCAAGCTGGGCACAAAGGAGCACACCTTTAATCCCAGCACTCAGGAGGCAGAGGCAGGTGGATCTCCGTGAGTTTGGCCAGCCTGGTCCACAGAGCGAGTTCCACGACAGCCTGAGCTACATATACACATATGTGACAAAAATTCTCAAAGAATTACTTAAATATCCTATGTTTTAAAAAGTTCATGACACTGCGTATGGTCAATGCAGGAGAGTGTATCGGCCACAAAACCAGCACTGGGTATGACGGGAGGAGTTGCATGCCAGGCTTCGCATGCTTTGGTGAGAACTCCAGTTCGTACTGCTCAGGAAGGGCTAAGGTTACGGGAAGGACAGACCTGAGAGAACCCAGGGGCTGGACATGGGGGATTGCTGCTGGAGGGAACAGAGGAGGCAAATATGACACGAAATTTCTGAATCTGGATCATGGCACCAAGGATACAGGGCAAAGGGCCTACATTACTACTACAGAGAAAGTCTCTGACCTTTCTCAGTTTGAGAGACCAATGTCATGTTCTCAATGTCCCTAAACATTCTATGCCTTGAGGGGAAGCAGCTGTGCCAGCTGAGGCACACTGCTGTAGCCAACACTGGATCTCCATTAGTCCTGGCATAGTTCCAGGGAACTCCACCCCCTTGCACACATTCCTCTTTATTCCCTACGCACGCCAACATTTCCAAAATTCCTGTAACTTTGCTTTCAAGAGAGTCGCATTCAGCAATGCTCCTTCCCATGTGGCTTGAATGTCTGCACAGCTATCGGGGCACATTTTGATAACTTTTCTAGAGCCACAAAGTCCCCAGATCATCATCCTGAGAGCTAAAGTGGTTTTTGTAGAGGTAAATTCACAGAGCCTCGCCCAGATTCAGTTTCTGAGCCCCAGCCCCGTGCACCGCTGACACAACGCTCGGCATGCCCACTCCCCTTTCTAGGCCTCAGCTGTCCCATTCAGTCACCCCTCCAACGCGTTATTCCAAATCTTTCCTGGCCCCTCTGATGCTGAATCCCCAACTCAGGTTTTAGAACGTCCCACCCATCCTCCCGCAGCACTCCCGCCCAGCTCTGTCGCCCACACGCAGTGGCCTCCAAGGACAAGGCCACAACTCTTACCCGGTTTAAACACTCTTGCGGTCGACTTCAGCTTGCTAGCAATCTGCAACCAGCGGACTTCAACCCAATACCAGTCACCCTTTTCTAGGGAGAGGTATGAGCCCAGGATCAGCCGAGCTTCCCTCACCATGTCGATTGGCTGCGTCCGGCTCTGGCGCAGCCAATTGACGCTCGCAGCGTGATTTTGCCCAATGAGACCAGTCCTTGTCGCCGCTGCACTGCCCTTTAACCTTGGGGCGGGCTTTGCCAGGTTAGCGCCACCCGCTTTGTCCGCAAACCAATGGACGTGGGGCCGCGCGCGCGCGCGCGGAGCAGTGGGAAAGGCGCGGAGGCCGCTAGTACGCCGTTGCCTTAACAACCGGTTGCGGAGGCGTCCATTCGGTGATGGTAAGTGCTGGACGTTCGATGGTCCCTGCGCGGCGCCCCCGAGCCCTTCCTAGGCCTCTTTGCGGCCCTGAGCCTTTCCTGCAGGGTTGACGCACTAGTCCTTTCTTGGAGCTCTGTGCCGGAAGGGTAGGAGAGAAAGTAAAGCCGCCTGCAGCTAGCCTGCCTGCGCTTAGCCATTGCTGCCTCCCCACCTCCAGTCACCTTCAGCTTTCCCTTACCTGCCTCCCGGCCTCCGCTGATTTTCCTGGAACCGCGGGTGACCATTCTGTTGCAAGGAACACTCAGGCTTCCCGCAGACTCTGGCCTCAGTCAGACTCAGGCCTCCTGGCCGCTGCTAACTGGCTAAAGTTTCTGCACGGTGGTAAGACGTTTACTATGTTCTGATGGTTGCAAACGTATTTGAGCTTCGCAGACAAAGCACGCAAGTGCCAAATGGATTGGTTCGTATCACTTTGTACTGGCATAATATTTATCTCAGTAACTTTACCTTTGGCCAGATTTAGGCATAATTAATCGGAGGAGCACTGTTCGTGGGAACTAGCCCCACAAGTAGATGTTTAACTACATTTCTAGAATTGAGATCCCCGGATTCAGGGATAGTTGATATCTGTTAGATATCCAAATTGGTTTCTCAGCTAGTTCTCTTTCACGAAGAAGAATAAGGGATTTCCTGGCTTCTAAAATCAATAGTTTAAAAAAGAGTCAGAGGTTCATGGAAAGATTAATTGTTCTTTCCTGCAAACTTTGTTCTCTCTCGATTTATTAGGCAGATCTTTAGAATAGGTTGGTACAAACTGTTTTTCCATTCATTACTGCTATCTGAGTTAGCAGTGGAATTAAAACATGGAGGGACCGTTTTCATCTTTGGTAATGAAAACTGAAGCCACACCGTGTTGTGACAGTGTATTCATAATAAAATGATACGCGTGTTCCTGACGAACAGGTATGGTCTCACGTTTGCTGTTTATTAGCTTTGGAAAAGAAGGAGAAAATTCAAGCATGTTAAACCTTTAGGTAAAACACTACATTCATTCAAAGAGTTTTTTAATGTTGCTTCTTTATATTTGAAAAATTTTGATTTAAGAAATGTTGTGGTAGAAGACAATCATATTTAATTAGAGTATTGCTGATTTTCTATTTTTACAATGTGGTGGCAAAAAATAAAATATATTTATTAAAACAATTTTAAATTGAGAGAGTTTTTTCACAGAGGATTATTTTTTTAGAGTTGGAGTTAATTTTAGTTTAGGTTTTACACTTGTTTGTGTGGGGGGAAAGGGGAGCATGGCTTAGCTTGAGCATGGATGGAGGCCAGAGAACAACTTGGAAGAGTTGTTTCCTTCCCACCATGTGGGTCCTGGGTTCCCACTTAGGTTGTCTAGCTTATGAAAGTTAGTATAATGTCATCCGAACATTACTCAGAATGTCTAGACCTGTCATAAATAAAATATGGACTTGTAATACAGTGCTTCTGTGTTTGTATAATGTTTGAAGGCCTCTAATTTTAAGAAGACAAACATGGCATCCAGTAGTCAGAGAAAAAGAATGAGCCCTAAGCCTGAACTGACTGAAGAACAGAAACAGGAAATCCGGGAAGCTTTTGATCTCTTTGATGCTGATGGAACTGGGACTATAGACGTCAAGGAACTAAAGGCAAGCTGCACAGACACTTGCTTTGCCACCTTCTCTTTCCCTGTTGCTTGTCTTTATTTGTCACCTTCTCCCTTCTCCTTATAAAAAGTAATGGAAAAAGGTACCCTATGTATATTTTACCTGAAACAATGATTTAATTGATAAAGTTGATTGCAAATATAAATAAAATCAGCATTACAGTGTTACCTAATGATTTTTCATCATTTTATCAGGTGCAAGGTTAGTATCCTCAACAGTCAGTTTTTCTTCTACATCATTTGTTTAGATTGTACTCTTTTCATTGTAGGTTGCAATGAGGGCCCTGGGCTTTGAACCCAAGAAAGAAGAAATCAAGAAGATGATAAGTGAAATTGATAAGGAAGGGACAGGAAAAATGAACTTTAGTGACTTTTTGACAGTGATGACTCAGAAAATGGTAAGTTAGTTGAGATAATGCACATATTTTCCATCCATAATAGTAGATATATAGGATTCTAGGTATAAATAGAATATTCAATAAAATCTATACCATTCACATGGTTGAGGATTGTGTTTTTAATTAATTAACTAATTTTACATATCAACCATAGTTTCTCCTCCCTCTTCTCTTTCTGTTCCCTCCCATACCTCCCCCATCCTCTCCTCTGTGTCCATTCAGAAGTGGGAGGATTGTATTTTTAATTAGAGGATCCCTAAGTTTCATTTGGCTTTCTTTATGGTCACAGCATTACAGAAATCATTTTACCCTGTCTCATATGATAATCACAAGCAGTAAAATCTGTTAACAGAGATTTTCAAATGTTTCTCATTTCTATTTTTTATTTTAATGGTATTAAAAATTAAATTAGCATACAATAAATCAGGTATTATGGCATTTTCAGACAAGTGCTTCTCAGTTTGACAATTCAGTATATACAATTAGAGGCACAAGAATTTTGAGCTTTAGAAATGATAGGCTGTTTTGGTACTTCTAAGGTTACTTTAATCCATCCCTAGTTTCTCAGATCCTTTAGCAGTCCAAAGACTTGAGAGCACATGAACACGTCACCGGAACCGACCAGCTTACTCTTTCAATGGCCTCCTGGCTTGTTGGTGTGTCATGATCACCTTCTCTTAGTATACCCGGAGAAAGGTAACCCCTTTCAGGTTCCTCAAAGTGTTTCCCAGGGCACAGGCCATACCTCTTTAATTAATCTAAGAGTTGTGTTGCTTTGAAATCACCATACCTACATCGTGTGTGTGTGTGTGTGTGTGTGTGTGTGTGTGTATGTGTACTGATTTAAGAATTCAGGAAGCTTGGTATTCTGCAACCATCTGGCAAGTCGAATTCATATTCAAGATTAGCTCCTAGATTGCTCTTCCTAGGGATTTTCTCCAGTTGTAACTCCTGGCCAGAACCTTCCTGAAATATTCGAGGTTTGAATGCTTTTGGAAATTTTACTCTCTTTCTGTTGGAGCACTCGGGGCCTCAGTAATTCTTTAAAGTCCATTGTGCAAAATGCCTCTCTCTTCCTCTGCCTTTTCAGTGTATCTCTGTCTTCTGTTAGTATAAGCAGTGTATTTTTTTTAAATTATAACCCTACTCACTGCTTCTGGATTTTACAAATGAATCTAGAATATCCTTGGTTTGTACAGTGTTTTAGATACAATTACATTTCCTTTGTAACACTTGAGTTTGTGTTAAGTTTACTGATTTTCTCTTCCTTTTCTACAATGGGTCATCCTTGTTTTTCTGTGACTGAGGACATGTATTACAGTGACTATTTCCAAGCCCATGTGATGATGTGGAATAGGGCCAGGGAATTAATCTATAACTCCCCCCCCTTGGCTTTAGAACTGGGGAAAGTTGTGAACAAGACAAAGCACAAGAGGGGCAATCAGTATCAATCCCTAGTAATACCCAGCACTGGGTATTGGAAAGATGAGCCCCAGCTTACTTCAGAAGCCCTAGTCTTCTACCTGTGAAAACTGTCCAGCTGCACCATGAGTCTGTCCTCTCTAAATGATTCATTGACCCCTCAAACCAGTCTTTATGCACATTTAGCAGGACTTCTTGGATTTTCAACCGAGCTGGCATCTTTTCCTACTGGATTCCGAGCTGATTATGAAATAGATGATGGGCTAGAAAGTAGGCAGGGAGTACATTCTACCGTGACCAGAGAGCTTGGCTTCCTGGCTCCTAACATGACTCAAGTCAGGTTATTGGAGACAAAAGGATGACCAAGAAGTGGCAGGGCTGCAGGATATGAGTAACTATGTGTTTTATGTTCTACTAAAGTCCGAGAAAGACACCAAAGAAGAAATCCTGAAAGCTTTCAAACTCTTCGATGATGATGAGACTGGGAAAATATCATTCAAAAATCTGAAACGTGTGGCTAAGGAGTTAGGTGAGAATTTGACTGATGAGGAGCTGCAGGTGAGTAATGTCTTGGTCTCTCTGGAGCCCGCTGGCTTTCCCAGGTTCTATTTTCTCTACTAGGACAACTTAGAAGGGAAGCTAGTATCCTAGCTGATAATTTAATACCCATGGACCCTGCTTCTGGAATACACATGTGCAGTTGAATGTACTCTTTTGGGTTTCAGACTAGGGTAAATTTCTAGCTCCTTTTTAAGAGATGCATTTGACAGTGTGTGTGTGTGGCATGCTCCCATTAGATGGACCATAGTCATCTTTCCTCACAGCATTATTTGAAATTTCTTATCTAATCACTTTTCAGTTTAGTTTGTGACTTGTTCTAAGAGGAGCCCTTACTGCCATACAGGAAATGATTGATGAAGCTGATCGAGATGGAGATGGCGAGGTCAATGAGCAAGAGTTCCTGCGCATCATGAAGAAGACCAGTCTCTATTAAGATCAGTGCTTCTTTTTCTACTGCAAGCACATGTGACTAGATTTAGTGCCTGCCATTTTGTGAAATATGGCTTTTGAGAACCCCCCTCCCCCAACCTCTGGGGTAACTAGCCGTGACCTTGAATCTATTTTTGACTTTTGGAAGTTTCTTTGATATTAAGTTCTTTGTACCTTTACCTGCTGATTGATTCAACAGGGCAACACAAGAGCACACAGTGGGGAAAAGGGACTGAGAGTGAGTGTAGCCACCCCGCCTTCTATTACTTCACG